TTGGCTCAAGGATTTGGATTATGTTATTTAAAACCTAAAATTGCATCTTGGAGTAATAATATTATCTGGAAAAATTTATTCAATAAATTACCAAAGTATTAATGTTATTGTTTGAATTGATTTAGGCAGTTGATCTCTAAAAGATAATTTACAAACTACATCAAAACCAAACATTGATCCTTCAAATATACAAAAATCATTAAAAGAAGAAGGGGAGGAAGATGAAGAAATTCCTGATCATATTGAAGAAATTATTGAAATTTTATTGAATGGATTGAAACACAAGGTTGATCTGAACAGATTTTAAATGTTAATTTTCAATCAATAAATGTTAATATCAATTTTTATTAAATCAGGATACAGTTGTACATTGGTCAGCAGCAAAAGGACTTGGCAGACTTTCACAGTGTTTACCACAGGAACTTGCAGATGATGTAATTGGATCATTGTTTGAACTATTTTCTGAGAATGCTTATAACGAAATAACCTGTTAGAATTGTCAGCTGTATCTGATTACACATGGCATGGAACTTGTTTGGTTGTTGCAGAATTGGCAAGGAGAGGGCTGTTATTACCTGAGAGATTAAAAGAAGTCATACCTTGGGCTATCAAGGTTGAAAATAATTTATAACCATTTAAAAATTTCTTTAATATAACATATTTAAAAAAATTTTTAGGCACTAACATTTGATTTGAAACTTGGCTCACATTCAATTGGTGCACATGTAAGATATGCTTGCATGTTATGTATGTTGGTCCTTTGCTAGAGCCTATGCACCTGAAGTTTTAGCACCTCATGTACCAGAGTTGGCTAATAGTCTTGTTGTAGCATCAGTATTTGACTGTGAAGTCAATGTAAGACGTGCAAGCAGTGCAACTTTTCAAGAAAATGTTAGAAGACTGGTAAATATAAAAATAAATTGGCCTGTTTTATTTAGTTTGTTTTAAACTAATTTTTATGTTTCAATAGGGTATTTTCCCTCATGGGATAGAAATTATTACAATGGCAGATTATTTCACTGTTGGCAATAGAGTAAATGCATTCTTAGAGATCAGTGTAAAAATTGCAAAGTTGGTATTTTTATATTTTTCAACTGATTTATATTATAAAATTTCAAAACTTATTAACTAATTTTTATATAGGTTTTCCAAATATCAATACCATTTGATCAACTATCTTAGTAAAGTTACAATATCTAATTGGGACAAAACTATTATGTTCAAAAGCATTATACAATTCAGCTTTTCTTGATATTAATTATATGGTCAATAATGTGCTTCACTTGTTAGTAGGTTTTAGATAATTATGAATTTTATATGTATTTTTTAATAATAATAATAATAATAATAATAATAATAATAATAATAATAATAAACTCATTTCTAGATACCACAAGTGTTATCACATGATATGCACACAAGACATGGTGGATTATTGGCTGCTGGTGAAATATCTTTAGCATGGTCAGAAATCAATGGAAATGATAGAAGTTGGGTTGAAATTCATAAAAAATTAATCGAGGTACTTGTTTAGTTATCATTGTTGATTTTGAACAAAATTTTATTGTTTTATTAATCATTTTCATGCAATTAGGAAATTTCATATATAATTAATTATTAATTTACCAAAAAATCTATTCACTGATTTTGGATCAGAAATAACATGTCACATTATATTTCATGTTTGTCAAAGGCAAATTGGCCTATTACAAGTGATATAATGGTTGTTTGGAAAGAAGTTGTGTATGATCTATTAAGTAGAAAAGATGAACATGGACAAGATGTGGCTGTTAGGGCGGCTAAGGAAATAGTTAATACTTATGGAATTCAAAAAGAAGAAATTCTATCATATTGTCACCGATTAAATTTGGGAGAGCGTGTTTTAATTGGTGATAACAATTATTTTTGTTTTTGCGTGGATCAGAATGAATAGGGGATCAACGAATTGATTTTGTTATTAGCGAATAATTTTGGTTAAAGATAAAAGTTTATTTAAATAAAATATTACTATTTTATTTATTTAGTTTTCTTAGTCGAAACTAATTGACTTATGAGAAAGTTACTTTACAAGTACATTGAATTCAAGATCCTTATATACAATTCAATTAATTAGTAATTCTAATATCCCAAAATTGAGATATTCTCTCAATATTGAGAAGTTATCCCAAAATTGAGACGATATCTCAAAATTGCGAGGATATCCCAAAATTGTGAGGATATCCCAAGTTGATTCTTTCTTAAATAAACTACGACGTTATACAAATAATTAATAAATAAAATATAATAGATAAAATAATACTAAATTAATAAAGGTTATAACTAAAAATATAATAATAATAAAAATTAAGAATTTCGGAATTAGTTAAATTCGGCCAAAAGAGCGTCCAAATCTAATTCCAGTAACAAATTGTTTCAACCCTGCCTGCTCTGAGATTGAGCATTATCATCTGAAATACCCATAACTTTGAAAGGTTCAAAGATTGAAGAAGAGGTAATAAGTAATCTTTGAATATTTTTTCATATACTTCACCTGTAATGTTAACATCAAATTTATAAGTGGACCAATTTGATCTTGAGTAAAGCATCTCCATACCATTATTCCAGGTGAGTGGGCAACCTTAGGTACTAAACAATCAATTTTATATTTCTCATGGGGTTGTCTCCAAGCCCAATTTTGGGAGTCATTTGTCAAATATAATGAATCTTGATTCATCACTGAATATGACTTCATTCCACTCTAATCAATCTTTACAACATCTCACAAAATGACAACATTTCTTTCTATTTACTTCTGATATTAAAGGCTTTCTTTCTCCTGCACATATATGGTAACCCATATAAATTTCTTTGCACCATTCTTGTACTTACAAGCCTTATTTATCTCATTTGGACAACTTTCACTAAAGCATGTTTACCTCTATCTGAAAGTGACTTGGGTTTCCCACTTCTCTTATCATTTTCAACAGTTCCTTCTTTATTATATCTTTCTAGAATATTATATATGGTTATCAATTGCATCCCAAGTCTTTTGCTTATTTTTGTCTTACATCCCATTTTCAAGCAACAACTACTTTTGCATACACAACAACAAATAATTCTCTAATTTTAGTCATCTGATTTAAATGATTTTTTTGTGAAATGATATAAAGATCTAAAAACAATTTTATAAGTGTATGTTTATTAGGGATCCAAAATTTCATGTGTAACAAATTTTTCCTAGGGGTTGGCACCGTTAACCATTCAACCGTGGTTAACCGGGAATTACTCGTTTATTCGTTTTATTCATTTTGTTCGTTTTGTTCGTTTTGTTCGTTTTGTTCGTTTCATTCGTTTCATTCGTTTCATTCGAATAGAAATCCTAAGGACGTTCTATTTTTTCAGTTCATATATAAAATTCATCGTCTCCGCAAACTTTTAAACTTTTATTGTTTCAGGTTATAAAATACAACGCCATTGAGTAATTAAGCCTGTGTCTCCAGAAAAAAACTCATTCACCGGTTGTTATTAGATTAGAAATTAGTGGGTTTGGTTCTAAATAAGCAGAGTGCAAAATTAGAATACCAGGAACTGCCAAATAGTTTTAGCCTAAGCTCTAAATAGTTCGGTTCGGTTTCGGTTTGGTTCAAAGAGTAAACCGAACCGTTCGGAGCTTTAGAAATTATACAAATTCAAGAAAAATATCTAAAGACCTTTTTTCAGAGAAAATCCAGATTTTCAAAGTACTATTTCCAACCTTGGTTGAAGGATGAATGTGTAGTTCGATATATCTTTTTTTTTCTGAAATAAAGAATTATATATAATAACGCAAAAAAGATTAGCAAGAAATGATTTTTTTTCCTCAAATTAATCATTTTTCATTCCCAATTAACAAGTCAATTGGATCACATCTCCAAACAAAATGCCCGGTCAGTATGGTAATATCTTGCAGAATGTTACTATTACCAATTGTTAAGTGTAACTGATCTCTTCCCTTCGGTCTAAAGATTAAAAGCAAGAGCATCAACATCTATATATATCGATCCAATTCAACCTGACTTCACTAACTGATTCAAATCCACAGTGTTTTTTATTTCTACCCTGTCAGCAGATAATATGAACTCATTCTTTTTTTACGTTTTCATCGATGTTCTCCTTTTCTAATTGTTGGATGTACCTTTTCTCAAAATCTTTTTAAAACTGATATTTAAAATATTAACTTGGCTAGAAAATAGTGATCAAAAAAATTACATTATCTAAAGTATATGAAAAGTTCCAAATTTTACTATATTTTAATTTTAATGAAATAATTAATAAATTATTAATATCACAACCATCATTTTCAAATTTTCTTTGCAAAACTTATCAGTTGAAAATAAAAATAAGATAACCTATTACTTTGTGATTTTGTGTAGATCAATTTTGAAATCATGTTTAACAATTTGAAATTCTCTCTAAAAAATTTTGCCAATATTTGTAATAAAGATATCAGTAGAAATTATAATAAAAATATACATTTAAAAAAGAAAGTCTTTATAAATAATAATTATAATATTTTTATTAATCAGAATCAATTACATTTTCATAAAAATAATGTTAATTTGTTAATTGAAAAAGTCAATTATAACAACAAATATATCCATTCATCGTTTTTCAATTATTTTGATAAATCTAACATCATTTACAATAATGATGATAGCAAAAGTAATGATAACGATGGTAACAATGATTCTGGCAACAATAATAATACTGTCACAAACACTACTAAAAGTATAGATGTTGACACAAAAACCACTAGCAACATTGCAGAAATCACCAACACAGCTTCATCTTCGTTGTCTTCATCACCACCAGCAGCAGCATCAGCTAATGATCAACAAAATTTAGATAGACGTCTATTAATTTCATTTACATGTAAAGTGTGTTCTCACCAATCAACAAAGACGATGTCAAAACACTCATATGATCATGGTGTAGTGATTATACAATGTCCTTCATGTAATAATAATCATTTGATAGCTGATCATTTAGGATGGTTTCGTGATGGTAAAACAACTATAGAAGACTTGATGCTTGAAAAAGGTGAAAAGGTTTTGAAATTTATTGCAGATGAGAAGTTTGAATGGAATTCTGAGACAATTGGGAAGGGAAAATTGAGAATAAAATTACAAAAAAATTCAATCAAAGGAAAAGGTCAATTTCCTGAAGATGATTAGTTACTAAAACTGATGTTGGTTTTTCTGTTACTGTTGATTAAAAGAAATTTTCTTGATTGATTATCTGTGAAAATTTCAGAATGGTAGACCATTATATATTATTATACTGCGTATATTTATTTAGTAATAATTAAATTTAAAATATCATTAATGTCTGGCAACATCAAAAATTGGTATACTTGTTGTCATAGTAATTAATAATCATTTTTGCAATCAATGCTCTTTTTTTAATAAAATTATATATCATAAATTTAAAGCTGTAATAAAACAAAAGAAATACATCTTTAATCATCAGATAATCACCCAATCATCATCATCTCCTTCATCACTTTCCAGATAATCTCTGGGTAATTAATTTCATTGTGAATTCTTTGGAACCTCATTCTTTATCAAAAGTTACTAATTAAAAATATCAGTTTGAACAAAATATATTTCAATAAATTATATTAACTTGTTACAATTATTAAATACTTTAAACAACCGTTTATTCAACTCATTATATAGAGGATTGATAAGTTTTCTAAATCTTGACAATTTAAACCAATTGATTGCTGTCATTTTGACTACAAATTTTTCCATTTATTCTAATAATGTTTAGACAATTATGACAAAAACAGAAATGACTTTTTTTCAATATCCAAGTCTGATTCTTTTATTTTTGTAATAAAAAAACATCCTCAATTTTGTATAATGGTGGATTATTGCTTAATATCGTTCTTCTGTCTGGTCTTATTTGATCCAAATCATCATGTTCTTCGAATCTTTGCCTTGTTACTTAATCCTCCTAAGGAAGGATCTATAATAGTCATTGACGGCTAGGGTACTGTGAATAAATTACGATTTCTTCTTTCTCTATTAATGCTTGAATCCACAATCCCTTATAATGTGCCCTAGTTGCCCGCAGGAATAACATTTCTTTTTTGGATCTTTGTTTGTCAAGTTGTCAATAGTTCTATCCCGTGATAATAGAACCTAAATAATTGATCCGGATTTACCCTTGAAATAAAGAAATACGAGGCCCACTGCTATCAATTCGGGATAGTTATCTTTCCAATTAGAATTTGATAGTAAAGGCAGTTAATAATATCCAGTGTGATGAGTTCAAGATATTTAATTGCATCTAGCAGTTTATTTGTAAAGATGAAGATAAAAACAAAGGTATGCTTTGCATTCAATAGTTCTAACAATAATTTAATTATCAATCATGAATTGAAATTTGGGTTTCTGTATCAAATCAAATGGTTTTAGTCCACACAACCTGCACAAGCGTCATTGATTAATTTTTTGGGAGAGCGAATTTAATTAAATCAGTAGATCATGAGGTCAAACCAGGGTATTTACTAGCAATAGTTTTGGGTATGATTTGATTATCAAGTCGAAACTCGTTAGTTATTATGATTATAAGAATCTAATTTTTGTTTGCTCTTATGATTTGATTGGCTGATCATTACACATCAAATGCAAATGAAAATCATTTATTTTTTTTTTCTAACAAAAAAATAAATCAATAAAATGGTAAATCTAATATTAATCAACTAATTAATTAATAAAAAATGAACTAGTTAATAATATATATTAGAAAAAAATAAAAATATTCTAATAAACCAAATTTTGTAGGGTATTGACATTAAGAAACACCACGTAAGAAAGAGGAATAGAACAGAACCAAAAAGTGAAGATGTTTATCTCAGGTTATTAGTTAAGGTAAATTAGAATGAGCGAGTGAATAATGAAAGGAACAAACAAATAATTTGGTTCAAATTAAAGTCATTAACACACACAGATATATATCTTACATTAACAAATAGCTTTATAGAGTTTTAGCGAGAAGAACAGACTCTAAGTTTAATAAAGTGATATTAAAACGACTATTTATGTCACGAGTGAATAGACCACCAATTTCAATTTCTCGACTAATTTGTAATTTGGAAAAGCATTCAGGTAAAATTGCAGTGGTAGTTGGAACAGTCACAGATGATAATCGAGTATTAGATATACCAAAAATATCAGTTGCAGCGCTCAGAATAACAAAAACAGCTAAAGCGAGAATTTTAAAAGTTGGTGGCGAAGTACTCACACTAGATCAATTGGCTTTACGTTCACCAACCGGTTCTAATACTGTACTCTTACGAGGTCCTAAATCTAGAGAAGCCATTAGACATTTTGGGATGGGTCCACATAAGAACGCCAAGTATGAATTTTATATTATTATTATTATTATTTCATTAATTTTAATATTATACTAAAAAAATTTCTTTTTGATTAAATAATAATGACAATCAATAAAATTTAAAGACCTTATGTTCGTGCAAAGGGAAGGAAATTTGAGAAAGCACGTGGTCGTAGAGCTTCTCGTGGTTTCAAAGTTTAAAATTAAATTATTATTGATTTTATAGCATTGTAATTATCATTGGATTGTTACATTAATAAATTTGCACATTTGCAGTTTTTATCACTAAATTAAAAATTCATAGGCAAAAAAAAACTTAATTCAAGTTTTGTTTGTTGTAAAAATATATGTCTTATAAATCCTTATTGCATCAAGATAAAAATAATTTGAGAGCTAACTTTTTATTTAGATTTTTGAAAAAAATTAAGGAAATTTTCAAGGTTCCAATATTTCAGGAAGTTTCAACTCCTTCCATTTCTTCACTTGGAATTCCACTAAACATATACTGTTCTTGATACTCTTTTCATTCAAAATAAACTGTGAACACGCTAGCCTATTCATAAACAAATAAATTAGGAATCATAGACTAAATTAGAGAATGGATCATCAGATTCTATATCCAAAGACTTTATTTCATCAATTACTTCCTTCTCTTCTTTCTCGTCATCATTATTATTGTTTCTCAATGGTATGAATAATTTATGTGCGTGCAACATCATTCTCCAAGTATCAGTATAACAAAGATTTTCGCATAAATTTTCATAATGATAGTCTCCTAATATAGGATGTTTTAAATATAAGCAATGCAATCTCAATTGATGTCTTCTTCCTGTTATTGGAAACAATTGAATTAATGTTACTGATATTTTATCATCATCATCATCACCATTATTTAAAGGATGAAAATATCCTCTTTTAATTACTTTAATTTCAGTTTTTGCTTCCTAAAAAAAATGCAAGTTCAATTAGTTTATACATTTTTTTTTAGTTAAACACATCTATGTGTATAGTTGTACCTTTCCAAGATTGTCCTCACTACCAAGACACATTCTATATCTATTATTAGGTACTTCAGCTATAGGTTGATCAACAATATAACTATTATCAAAAAAATAATAAAGTTTTTTAGAAGAGAAAAAATTTTGTTTGTTGTCAATTTTTAATGCTCACTTATCATCTTTCATCCAATTTCTAACAATTGCCAAATAACTTTTTTTAACAGTTCTTTTTGTAAATGCCACGCTTGCTAATCTTGCTGAAAGTTTTGTCAATGCTAGACAATAACAACCTGATGTTGAATAATCCAATTGATGTACGTTACGT